AGTCTTATTTTATTACTCCGAATAAAAAGAATATTTTCTTATATGCCAACAATAACATCCATATAGTAGAATACAAGAGTGAAATATAATTTTTGTGAAAATCATATCTTTAAATTCGTGTTTAAACTCAATCAAAATTGTGTATTTAACTCATTTTTAAGGCTACATTTCCAAATTGGGTTGTGCAAAATGAGTTGGCTGTTTAGGAGTGGAGCCCAGCGTTGCCAAAATGTATCATCACTTCTTAATGAAAAGACATAATTTAAAAAAATTAAATTAATAGAAAAAACACGTTATATTTAAAAATAAAGTACATTTTATATTTTTCCTGAAGCATACTCCGTCTGTCCAAAAAAGATTTTCTCATTTCATTTTTTATGTATCATAAAATATTTTTATATAGTCTCAAATGTCAAAAAAAAAATTCAAAACAACTTCTACCAATGATAAAAGGTAAATGTGGTAAATTTTATGCATTTTAGATGTGAGTAGAAGTTTTTTTATGAGATGCGCAGAAAATAAAACGAGTAAATTTGTTTAGGAGGGAGAGAGTACATAAGTGCAATTTCAACTTTATCCTCTATGCCTAAATCTCCAAATTAAATGAAAATAAAAATAATCACTGCCGAGTCCAGCGGAAAATTGGTGGCATTACACTCATCACCAACTTTAAATTTGAATAATTAATTAAAGGAGAAAATCATATAAACAGATATAAAAACATGTAATTTTACCAAATAGTTACACTGTATAATATTAAATTTAAAATATAAATTTTTCAATGAAACATTTAATTCCGATATTACACCAGATCAACAAAAATACTTTACTTATTTTTGTCTAAATAAATAAAGTACTCCGTAATAAGATTTGTGTAAAGTATTCTGAGGTTTTGCGAAGTAATTAACATGTTTCTATAAATATTCACATTAATTTTTTCTCAACCAAATTAGAAAAATATATTTAAAAAAAGAATAATTACAAAAAATTAAAGGAAATAATTTAAAAAGTATCTAAACGCGGAGAGTGTAATTAAATTAATTAAATCAGCATCCTCATTATTGTGTCTACAAAACAAACAGGCTGTCAGAGATTAATCCAATTATTCCAAAATTCCAGCCAAGTTCTTCCTGAATTGGGATGCAAGTGCAACATCAATTACATCCAAAAACGTTCATTTCAATTCATTTTGGCTTGTCACATTCATTTTTTATTAAAAAAAATATTCCTATAATATTGTGATTTGTTTTCAATTTGAACATATAATTTTATTGTATAAAAATAGTATTTTTAAGTCATTATTAGAAGAAACGGAAAAGAGTAAAATGAGTTGGTAGAAATACAAACGAATTAGAAAAAATTTAAAATCAACTTTAATGGATTAGTATGGAAGTTCATATTCAAAGTTTGCGGCCTTGAGAACAAGATAAGGAGATAATCATTGGCATTGATTAAATGAAAGAAAGTTGTCCATCTCTTGGCCATTTGCAGTTTGCACCACTAATTATGTTTCTTATCAATTAATTATGCACTCCCATTTACAAGTTCTTATATTGATCTTATTTAGAAACAATGTTTTCAATTAAAGTTAGGATTTTGAATAAAATTTTAATGGGATATATTAATTTTAAAAATGCTAACGCTAATTAAATCTACCATCGTATAGTTCTTTCAAAATCTTAACGCTAATCTTTAACTTTCATGCCCAATGAGACCATTAACTACTCTGTATCCTTCGTGATTATATTTGGCGTTGTGATCTTTAAATTTACTTGTGAAATATAGACATTTTTTGTATATATTTTATATGATTTCTCTCACTATAGATAATTATTTCATATATTAAATTTATAAATTGAACATGAAAAAGAATTTGTCTCGCAACACACATATAGACTCGTATGTATCAAGTTTGCCTCTATGGAGATGTGTCTAGTACTCGTCCTAATTTATGTTGCTAGACTCATTGGGCAGATTTAAGAAAAGTGAAAACTAAACTACACACAAAGTATTACCCGGAGTAATAAATAAATATAAACTACATATTGAGTATTTATTTACTTTTTACTTTCTAATTCTTTAAAAAAAATAAAATTAAATGTTAAAATTTACAATACCAGAGTAAATGAAATTAATATATTCCCGTCCTAAAATTTAAAATTTAATGTTGAAGTGAAACATACTTCGTATGTATTTGTTCGGGAAAAAGGTTAAAGTAAGAATATGATATTGAAAATATAATAAAATAAAAGTTTCATGTTTTTTGTCGAAATATGAGTTAAAATAAATTTATAGTACTAATCATGATTATATACATCACCAAAAAAATATCATGAAACGATCATATAATGTCACATTATCACAAAGTGAACTCTATTTTGGAGATAAAAATATAAAATACTCCCTCCGTCCACAAATAAACTTTACGTTCACTATTCACAGGGTTAAACTTTATTCAATTTGTTGGCCTATTTTCGTCACCCATTTGATAAAATAATATAGTCATGTCACCTCTAGTTTTGTAGATCTTTTGATATAGTTTTTTAATATGTACTCCCTCCGTCCCACTGTCTTTGTCCACTTACCCTTTGGCACACTATCCAATGCACTTCTTTAATCCATTTAATCTTGTAATTTGTATATTAAGAAATTATAAAAATTATATATTAATAATCTATATGTTAAGACGAATCAAACAAGATCACACATGACTATTTTTAGGCTTACACATTGAGAGAATTTGATGAGTCAAAGTGCTTAGATGAACAGTTTCAAAAGTCAAAACTGGACAAAGACAATGGGACGGAGGTAGTAATTTTTATTTTTGAATTCTACACCATTTTTCATATAAAATGATTTGAAAATAACTTTAGTCAAACATCGTAACGCGCAATGTAAAGTTTATTTGTGGACGGAGGGAGTACTAATTTTGTTACGTTTTTCATATTTTACTCATATTTAAGATAATTTTTTTTGCATATTTAGTACTCCGTAAAAATGAATTTAGGGGTATGACAAATAATAAGTGTCTGTATTTGTTTGTGTTTGCATGGTGTAAAAATGAGATACTCCATTTTGATGTACGTCTAAGTTTATTCTTTCTGTATTTATGTTACTATTGTAACGGTTACTTTTAATTCTGATTGATGGCCCGAACCCCGATGTTACAGCAAAATCCCTTTTTACTTTGACACATCCTTTTACGGAGTATTCAATGTTTTTGTTTTCTAAATTTATTCTATTTAGAAATACGTATGAAAATTAAAAATACAACTTAAATACAATAAAGTTGAATATTGAAAGAAATTGGAAAAAGTTAAAAAAATTAAAAGAAGTTAGAAAAAATTAAAGATGTTAGAAAAAAATAAAGTGTTAAGAAAATCAGTCAATTACATAATCGTTCAAATGAACTTACTACAAGTTCATAATCTAAATTTATTCAGGGTATGTTCTTTAGGAATGAAAAAAGACAGCTTGTTGGAAAAAGCTGGAAAGAACGAAAAGAAATCGAGAAACCGAAAGAAACTAGAAAAAACTAAAAAAATTAGATAGACTTGGAAAAATTTTATAAAATTAGAAAATCTAAAAAGAATAAAAAATTTATTGAAGTTTATTTTTTTTGTTATTCTCATTCTAATTGTTGTTGTTATAATTTATTATTATTATTGTTATTATAATTATTATTATAATACTCATAAACAGGTTATCTTAATCAATGTCTTTAAGATAAAAATAATATTGTCATTTTTCATACACAAAAATATACTTTTACAAAAAAAAAATTGGAAATAAAGTTAGCATAAATATTAAAGTATTAAATTCTAAAAAGTTATTGTGGTTACGTTGCACCTCAATTTATTTATGCAGCATTTCATATAAAAAAATTATTTGTAATTACATTTATATATTCTAAGATTTTATTTTGAATATCAGAATGTCAAGTGATTAAATTTATTTTTTCTTTCATGATTGACATTGTAACTCTTATTTTGGGAATAAAAAATATAAAACTCATATTTGGTACATTTTTATACTTTACTCATAGTTTAGTAATTTTCTCTAAAATATTTTGACTTTCAAAATTTTTTATAAAAATTTGAAAAATGTTTTCCTCATATCAATTTAGAAGAGTGTGAATTATAAAAATAGTGATATGGAAAAAATAAAAAAATAAATATAAACTATAGTTATGAATATAATAGTTGTAATAATAACAATGAAGATAATACTACTCCGTAATTATTATTATTATGCTAATAATAATAATAATCACATTAAAAATACATCATTTTTAGAGTAATTGTTTGAGAGTAGAAAGAGTTTGAAGAAAAATGAGAATAGTTGGAAAAAAATGGAAAAACTGGAAGATCTAAATAAAACTGAAAGAAACTAGAAGTTACATTGTGCGTCTATAACTTACTCCCTTAATTCCATTTTAATAGAGTATTTGTTTAGTTTTGCATATGAAATATTTGTCTAATTATGTATACAAATATGCAATGATTTAAAATATAAAAGTTATTCCAATTTATTGGCATTGAAAAATACTTTTATTGTATTATTTTTAGTATTTTTTTGTTAATATATTGTAAAGATATTTTTGATCAAACATTATAGGCTCAAAAACATAATACTCCCTCCGTTCTTAAATGAATTATATATTACGTAAAACCAGGCAAAATCTTAAAAAAAATTCAATTCGTATTATTTAAAATTTGGTATAAAAATAAAAATAATAAAACTTGCATATTTTAAAAAAATACATCAAAAATCCTACACGCATGTCCCAATTTATATTGCATGTTCTGATTTACGATTTTGACTGGAATTATTTTCAAATCATTCTATATAAAACATGGTTTAGAATTAAAAAATAAAAATTACATATTAAAATAGCAAATTTAAAGATCTACAAAATAAGTAGCACATGACTATTTTATTTTTTTCAAATGACTATCGAAAAAAGAGAAAGAAAATGAATAAAGTTTGACCCATGTGAATAGTAAACAAACAATTTAATTTTGAATGGGGGGAGTACAAAAGAAGATGTGATAAGAATATTTTATTTTATCAAATAATTAATGAAAATATACAAAAACTCATGTGATTCTTTTGAGTAGTGAAGAGCAGAATTCATTGTGAGACTGTGGAAAGCTAAAATCGTACCCAGCAGCGGGTGCACTTGGCCATACAGTCTCCCTTGCAATCCACATTGAACCCAAGCACCTTTGGATTCCGACGAAGAAGCTTCCTCAGAGGTTTCCCTTTGATTCCCCAATCCCTCTCCAGGGCCTGCACATTGTTCTTCACTTCCCGTTCCAGGCTGCATCCCAGGACTTCCGGAAACTTCTTCAGTAACTTGCGCACGTCATCATCATCATCATCGTCGTCGTCGTCTGAGAGGGTTAGGCTCCTCAAGTACTCTAATATTTTCGTCACGCTTTCCACCTTTGGAACTTCCCTTTCCCGTTCTTCGCTCCAATAAGGGGAGTGGACAAGGCCAAATGCCTTCCCCAGGATCTCATCTTCCTCTTCGGCGCTGAATCTGAATGGACTGAGAGCTTCTCGGCATGCCTCCCAAGATTCGTTCTTGCGCGCGCTCAAGTTATAAGCTTGGGCAGCAAATGCGTGCATTCCCAGTCTTGTTGAAGATAACTTGCATTGCCAAGATTCCTGGTTACCGTGATAAACAAGACAATAACAACAACAATAAACCCAATAGAATACCACAAAAGTAGGTTTATTATGCATACATTTCCCCTACTAGGTTATAGAGAGGTTGTTTTTAGGAGACCCGCTGCTCAAACACAGACGCACAAACATACAAAGTAAAAGCAAGCACATTGCTACCTCAAAACTTCACTTGAACACATCCAAAAAAGGACATCCATATGAAGAGAGGGATCTTTTTTTTCTCTTCCTATTCTGTTCAACTTTCGCATTTGTGTGTAATCTTTCAGACATGACATTCGAGTTGTTTCCATAGAACTCCTTTGGTAATTTGGATGGTGTATACTAGATACTACTGCAAACACTGCCAATTTCTCCGAGAAAAAGTATGCACGTGATTGTCTCTGGCATTGTCAACTTTGGTGTCAACCACGATACTGAAGCATCATTTTTTCGATTTTGATTGTTTTCAATGAAATTGAAGCATCATTTTTTCGATTTTGATTGTTTTCAATGAAATGACCAAAATGCACTAAAGCGGCCATTGAAATCACTCCCAACCCTAGTCTCATTTCCAAGTTTCATGTTCGCCGTAGGGCATGTTAGTCTATGTTGCACGGATTCTCCTTTCCGCCCCCCATTGGTTATTTGGAGACTTCCAAACAACCAAATCCTCAATGACATGTTTGGAAATTTGGATTTTGTTTTCAAATTCAGATTCAACTCAAATTACATTTTTGGAAATCTAAAAAGAAATTTGAGTTTGGACCAAAATCTTCTCATTCCCAACAAAGCTCAATTGCAAATTCACAAGAATTCAAAATCAAGAATTAAAACACAAGAATTCAAATGAAATCTAAGTTCTCAAACACTACTTACTACAATTTTGAAAGGTTGGGTATAATCGGATCCCAATCGGGTCGAGCAAAAGCAACCCTAGAATAGCGTCGTCATCAATTCATGGAGGGAGGGGACTAATCGAAGGAGAATCAAATCACTTACAGTCGAAGAGGCGGGAAGAGGTACAGAGTGGTTCCGATTATACTGCAGCAGCAAGAAAGGAGTCGAAGCCAAAGGTTGCCCTCCCAAAATCATACCGTATCTGTCACAGTTCCTTCAAAATGTCGGCATCAATTCACCACTTTCTTCCCATGAGAAACTATGTATAAATTGGAATGAAAAATCGACGCTATAAATGAAGCATAGCTCCATGAATGATGAATGACTGACTAAGAAAAGTATTGAAAAAATATTACTTTCTCTATCTCCAATTAATCATTTATATGGATTAAATAGTTTAGGTTCAATTTTAACGGTTCATTTTGGTTTCTATTGCTCCTGTCCAATAATAAAGTTTCCGTTCGCTATTAATAGAGAAATATTTTATTCACTTTGTTGACATATTTTTGTGTTCTATTTGATAAAATAATTTAATCATGTTACATTGTAGATCTTTTTCATATAACTTTTAAATATGTAATTTTATTTTTTAATTTTATAAAAAATAATTTAAAAATAAATTCAGTCACACACAACAAGAATTTTATTTATAAATGGAGGAATATCTTTTTCTGAATAGGGTCTTAAAAAGGGAGAAAGACCAAAGTAGGACTAAAACATTGAATATATACCAAAACAGGACTTCCATGTTTTTATTTCTGAAATAGGACTTACATTACCAAACATGGTCATATACATTACCAAGAAAGTATAGTAATTTGCACATGTACACTGCCACATTACCACAATGCAAAGTCACATTACCACAATGCAAAGTCCTATTCCAGAAAAAAAAACATGAAAGTCCTATTTTGGTACTTTTCTCTTTATTTTAGTCCTATTTAGGATTAGGATGATATCTATCTTAAAAACGGCCTCCGGGTCAATTTCGGATTTGGATCAAATTTTGCCATTTGCGCCAAGAGATTGTTGCAGAGGATCACAAGCGAAGTCGATAGCAGTCTCTTGAGTGGTTCTTTCAGACATTTCGTCGAGCATAGTGCGCCCGCGGAAAGAAAACAAAACATTTGAAAGAAGTTTCAAAGATCAAATCTTTCGAGAGGTTTCAGCCATGGGACGCTCTCTTCTTTTCTCTCATCTCTTTACCCTCAACAATACTGCCCCCTGCTTTGCTTCTTCAGCGTAAACTCTCTGTTTAATTCTTTATTTTTACTCCTGTTTATGCCTGCTGCATTCAAAACCTTCTCCTTAACCATTTTATTTGTATGTTATCCATATATATTTATATATCTTTGTATCCTTGGAGCAGATTAAGAGGCCCAAGATTGATTCCCAGCATTCGCAACCAAAGTTTTAGGTGCATTTGCAACGTCCCCAAATCCGAGTCTTTGGGTTTCGAGAATCCTCCGATCGCTGTAAAGTAATGTCCTATTGAATTTCTACTGAAAATATATGAAGCTTAATGACAAATACTTCAACTAGATTTAGCAATATTGCCTCGTCAAGTTTGATGCCAAGAATTCGTGTCCATGTGTGAACCTGGATTGCTATACGCTTTGAGTGTATAGCAATCTACACCTTTGAGTGTATCCAGCTTGAGTTAATTTGATTTTTCATTATATAATGGGTTGCGGGTTGCCCATTTTATGCCATTTACGACAACAAAAATATGAACTTCACGTTTTCACCCCATTCAACACACAAATGACTATGGTGGTTCCATGACATTGCATATGGTCATTGAGATGGATACTTCATCAGTACATTTAAATAAATGAATACTTGTATCAAACATGTAATTGAAGTGAAACACATTGTCACTCATTGTTTTATCAAATGCAGTTATGAATATTCAAGAATGATATACTGTAATTAAATATCTTGATTAAGTAGTAATTGTAGTCATATTTTTCTAATTACAACAGGAAAAGAATAGTCTCTGGTGTGCAGCCAACAGGGTCTATTCATCTTGGGAATTATCTTGGTGCCATAAGAAATTGGATCCAGTTGCAGGTTTCACTGATTTCTCAAATGCACTCCACTTAATCGCATTCCTGTTCAGATTTTTCATTTTTGTGTGTCTGGTCCTACTAGGGCCACCGTTAGCTTGTCACTAGTGTTGAATTATCCTGTCTTTATGAGTACATGACAGTTAGATATACATAGCTGTTTCTTTTATTAGACACAATGTTTTAGCTTTGGGTGAATTTTAAATACGGAGTAATAAACTAAATCGCGATGGCACTTTAAAGTTTAAACTTCTACTCCTACTTACTTTCTATTATTCTATGAAGTTTTGGCCTTTTGGATAGTAGATGCATCAATGGACTGATGAAAACAACTTCTCTTTTTTACAAGAGTAAGGCTGTGTTACTAATATCATCAATAGGTGGTGACAAGTGCATTTAATATAAAGGAGGTGCATATAAAAGGATGATCTAATGGATTTGGAAATGCCTGCATATACAATATTTTGCATCTGCCACAAAATTTTAGTAGATAATTTATCTGGACAAAATTTTCAATTCATTGTATTTGGATTTTAGAACTCTGTGACTATTTTTTTTGCAAACATTTATAGTATAGCTAGCTGACCCTATTGTTTTGCAATTACTCTGTTTTGTTGCACTTATTTTTCAGTAAACTTTTGCCTATTGTTCATTGTTATTGATTCTCTCCAAGTCTCCCCTAATATCAAAATTTCCTATTTGCAGGATAAGCACGAGACATTCTTTTTCATTGTAGACCTTCATGCGGTAAGTTTAATTTAGTGTGAATGTTCTAGTTTTCGATGTTTATTACTTCATATTTCATTTCACGGCAAACATACATTTTCCATTTGGAGGGTATTAATTATATGGAACAATGAAGAGTTCTCCTTGTTGCCAAATGGAAACACATTCTGTGTGCCTTAACTAGGGTTTATGGGGGGGGGTGGGTGGGAGAATTTGTCAATCGTTTTTTTGTAAGAGAATCTCTCCTCGCTATTAATAATGCCACAAGTGGTACTAAGCTAAGATATCTTGCATTTGGTTTTTTATGACTTTGCAGATAACGTTGCCGTATGATGCATCCCAATTATTGAAAGCAACTAAGGACACAGCTGCTCTTTATTTAGCATGTGGTGTGGACCCTTCGAAGGTTGGGTATTCAGTTTTAAAGTTTGGAAGTTCATATTTTGTATAAGCCGGCTACCACAGTATTCAAATCCTTAGTTCTGACTTATTTTACACTGTGCTCAGGCCTCAGTCTTCGTACAGTCTCATGTTGCTGCTCATGTAGAGTTGATGTGGCTTTTGAGTGCTGCCACACCCATTGGGTGGCTCAATAAAATGATTCAATTTAAAGAGAAGTCACGGAAAGTGGTGCGTTGTTCTTGCTGTTGTATGCATCGGAAATATAATTTTTAAGTCTTATTAATCATCTCAATACTCTTGTGTCTTTGCATTTCATTTCAAGATGGGCTTGTTTGGGTATTCGCGGTGGACTACATCCAACCGTCCAGCTCAAAATTTCATTAAAAATATAGGGCTATGGGAGAGTTTGGGACAGTTAACCTTTTAACAGCCATTTAAAACCAATTACTTGCTGGTTTGAAAAAAACAGCCTCTTGTTATTATTAGGGGATTTTTTTTAAATAACAGGAAATGATATGTTTTTTTATATTTTATGCTACTGTTTACTGTCAGGTTTTCTTCTCACACGCATTTAAATTAACAGTCTAAGTTTTCTCCCCTAGAGCATGTTTGTGGTATGAACATATTGACATGTATCCCCTAATGTTTCTGCTGAATTTGAAGATTCATGCATCTGTGGCTAGGGGCATTGAACAGTAGTAAAGTTTCCCATTGGACCGGAGTCATCTTTCTCGCCTTTTGTGCCATGCAAGGAGGAGCTTGCAATGAGTTTTCTGCATGATTCCATGCATTTAGAATAGTTACTCTTACAATTCCATCCTTTGTGTACAGGGGGATGAAAATGTTGGCGTTGCCCTTCTAACTTATCCTGTGCTGATGGCTTCTGATATTCTTCTGTACCAGGTCATTTCCCTCAGCTTGCAACATGGTGGAATGTACATGTAATTCATATGAACTAATCCGATAGTTGATTCACCCTTTCCCTCTGATTGTCATGGAAATAATTATTGTGTTGCAAAAAATATCATTGCATCTTAACTTATATTTTGCATATATATATATATATATATATATATATATATATATATATATATATATATATATATA